AATTATTCATGCTTGCTTGATTTCAGCAAACACAATAATTATTATTGTATATATATACCTTATATCCGTGTTGTGCCCAAATATTGTGAATTGCTACAGTCTCTGTACCCTGCATATTATGTATCTCCAGATATGAGGTAATGAAGAGTTGCTGGTGTCTGAGGCCCGGGTCTCGTCCAACGTTTCAAAACCTGGTGACCACGTTCAGCAGTCTCCTGGAGAGGTCTTCAGACTACCTGGACTTGTGTCAGGTATCCAGTCAACTGGAACTGTCCCAGTCTCTTCGCTGGAAGGAGAACCACGATGACCTCCCTCCTTCTTCTCCACCGAATGCTCTCCCTGTCATCCAGGAACAAGAAGACACCGAGGTTGAGGACGACGATGAATTTTGATCTTGTTATGCATATAGCCAGCTACTACGTAGACTCTTACTTTGTGTATCAGTGTGTATTGTCTGAACACAGCATCGTATCAGTATACAGTGGTTAATGGGTGCGTCTCACGTGATTCACTACCACATCTTTCTGTACTAGAGGAATGTTAGTCAAAAGGTGAACAAATTTTGTTCATTGTCGTAACTTCCCGGACTGTGCGCACGCAATATCCGGCGAGTGTAAATTGATTTCCGGGGCGGCGCTGATCTGCGCAGGTGGGGAGCATAAATCTGCAGGCACTGGTGGAGTCGCCACAGCAGCGAGAGCGAGACGCAGCTCATCCTGAGATATGGGTCATCGTCTGCGCCTGCAAGGAGGGACCAGGCGGTTGCTGGCCGCATTTCTGGCGCTCGTGGCAACAGTCTTTGTGGACAGCTCATCAGGTATGACGCCTCTTCTCTAGCTAGTTAGGAAATATTGTATGGCCAGGAGTGTGCGACAGTGTCCGTCTCGTGAGGATGTATACACAACTGGCAAGAGTGCCGGATTATCAATAGACTGGACACAAAACTAGCTAGCTACGTAGCTACGTGCGAACTCTGCAGCCGTTGCGTGGTTTCGTAATGACTCGCTGCAAGAAGAGTTCGTTTTCACGCGTAGTATGTTGACGAGCGTAAACGTGGACGTCGTATACTTTAACGTAATTTCCTAGCAGAAAAGACAATTGGCCGAGTGTGTTTTGGGTTGCAGCAGTGTGTAATGTCCGGCTGAGATCAGGTCTCTGGGGACTGTGGCTGCTGCATATGGGGGAGAGGAGCCTTGGGATTCCATAGTTTCTGAGTATGTACAACCTGTTTGCTGGAGCATTGGAGAATAATGTTGATAACTCACCATGTGCCCAATAGCATAGCGTTTTTATGAGCATGCAAAGCAGTATAATATAAGTATACCTGAAGGCTCTTGTATATGTGAAATGTGGCCTAAAGACACTACAAAACGTGTTAAACCATGTCACATTGCTCCATCGTGTCATGTCACAAAGATAGAAATGCACTTTACACTATGCGGCAATGCAACACAGGGTGTAACAGGATGATTGTGGTGTGTTGTTAAGTTTTCCCGAGAGTTGAAGATTTTAGATGCGTGTTGTAAGCTCCTCTCCCATGTATAAGACTCTCCCCTCCCCCTCCTCCTCTCCACCAGCACTGAGTCTGGAGTTCCTGGAGCTAGGCTCCTCCTCTGCCAACCTCACTGGGTCTCTTCCTCGGGGAGACGAGGTGAACTCTGACCCCATCTCCCTGCCAAATGGCTTCCCTTTCTCCAATGAAACGGAGTCCGTCGTTTTTGTAAGTATCACTAACCTCTTACTCAGTGCAATGTCGACATGGTATTTTCAACTGATCTTATGGAATTCCAACTAGTGATATATAGACTTGCCTAACTTTATCCCCCAAACTCTTAATTACATTTTCTTCTTATCTAAAGCTGTTGATGTTTTCTTGTAACTGCTAATTGTGTGTTGATTGTTGGAGAATCATTTCCTCCTCCTACTGATGATGAGTGCAGTAGTTACTGCTAGGTTTGTTCTATTGTAGGTGAATGTCAATGGATACTTATCCTTCAGAACAGCTAGAGACTACACCAGTCCTCCTGAGGATATTTCTGTCTACACTCATATCATAGCTCCTTACTGGAATGACTCTGACATCACCGAACAAGGTTGGTTGCCTACTGGCAACCACCTCCATCCCAGCGGTTGTAAAATTTGACAAAATTTTTGAAAATTGTTTGTCTCTAGTTAATGTTAATTACCAGGGGCTTACTCCTTTCCGGTGACGTGCTGTATGAAGTGAACAAGTTGGTTGCTAGTGACAACTTTGGTTGCTACCGGCAACCACCTCCATCCCAGCAGTTGTAAAATTTGACAAAATTTGACAAAATTGTTTGTCTCTAGTTCACACACTATTAATTACCAGGGGCTTACTCCTTTCAGGTGCTGTGCTATATGAAGTGCACACCAATGGATCACAGCTGGATGCCGTCAACTCTGCAATCAGTCAGGATGTGGGTATGGCTTTTGAGGGGGTGTGGCTACTTGTAGTGTACTGGAACAGCATCCCAACTGCTGCTGACAGTTCAAAGGTGAGATCAGTCCCTGTGTAATCATATTCACGGCCACCTGGGGGGTAATTAAGAGATCTGAGTTCTGAGAAATGCACCACGAGTGTGTCATGCAGACGTTAGAGTGCAGGCAGTTCACAGGGGAGGAGTGGGTTATCCGACCGAGGACACCATGTTCCAACGTCGACATACGTAATAAGACGTGTACACCATGTGTGTATACAGTGGAACCCTAAGGCCGTTGGTGACTGGAATAGAGATTGTTCCACGGTACTGCTGGCACTTATGGCACGCAACTTTTATTGGAGACACAGACTATAGCTAACCCTCAAAGGAGTAATAGGCAAGATGTGTTGGTAGTGTTATATCACACATGTAGGAAGTGGGCGGAACTGGTAATGTATGTTGACTAAGTAGTCAGGTTGCCGGTATGTGCGGATGCCTACTGCCTATGATGTGTGTGATGATCTGTCCTAGCAGGCCACCCGTAAATAGTCAACAACAGGAGTATAGCTAGCAGATGGTGCAATTCTGTGGACTAACTTGACTTCGAAGCGTTATTCATGAGCATGTCCGCACTGCATCGTATGCAATATCAGATGTTTGTGTGACGTATCTATTGCACTGCTGCAACAGAGCATCATGACATGTTGTTTTGCTTTGCCTCGTGACCTCGTTGACACAAAGAGCCTTCGTAAAACTTACTAATTACCAATTCAATAGCTACTGCTGAGCTTACACTGCATTCACCAGCATTAGTCCAGTTTTCAGAATGTTGTTTTGGCCTGCTTTTCCTCCCATTTGCTTACCAGAAGTATGACAAAATTAAGCCACATCGACTTTCCACAGAGATTACACTGCACACTCCACCTATAGTCAAGGTATTCAGGATGGTTGGTTGGTCTGTCCTTCCCCCCACTTGCTCACTAAAAATTGAGGCAATGAAGTTTTGTGTCGTAGTAGTCCATCGAAAGAAATAGAGAATTTATAATTTTGGGTCTGACTCTGTCACAGAGGGACAGCTTCCAGGGAGTGTTGGTGACAGATGGCACCAAGTCCTACTGCCTCTTCCTCTACCACTGTGACCTTCTGGAGTCCTCCAGAGCTGCCATTGGCTTCTCATCTTCTGGCAACTTCTTCTTCAACCACCAACTGTCTCTCTCCCCAGTTCCAGTGAGGTTGCCTGTGGCAACACTCCTGACAGCAACTGGAACTCTCTCCTCTTCCAAACACACTACGATGGTGAGAGGAGGTGGAGGAGTAGGGTAGAGGGGATTTGGGTCGCCATGTGGTCAGAAGAAACGATAGGGAGAAATAGTTAAAGTTTGGTTTGGCTATGAATTTTGCTAATTTCTAATTGTCTCTAATTTTACATATTATGCAGTCAGTTTATACAATAACACTAGATAGCAACCTTTTCTCCTAAGATTCCTGCCCTGATGAAATTAACCATCTTCTCTCTATCATCTCTACTGATTACAGGGGTCAGACCAATCATCCTCACAAATCCCGAGGGGCCTGTCTTCAGAGCCGCTCAGTACATTGACCTCCGCTGTAAGGTCGTTACCCCTGGAAACTATCAGTTCATCTGGGAGGCGTACTGCTCGGACGACCTGATATTCCAGAGTACAGAGTACAGTGATATCTCGAATGTGGTCAGTCTGAGCTCAACTCCTGATTCCTGTGTCGATGTGGTGGTGTGCCGGGCGATGGACGATGCTGGGACGACTGCGGAGGACAGATTCTATAGCGGAAACATCACCGGTTAGTGAGAAAGAGAGAGAGAAATTATGGTCTGCGAAACAGGCATATGCGTCGGATAAAAACGAATCACATGTTGTATTAACAGAACGAAGAGTTAAAACTGTCAGGATTATTGTAATTGTGAGCCTTTGTATTGTATAGATGAACGAGTATTCATCGTGAATGTTTGTTACCATAACCCAATTCTAAATTTTCTACCAATGATACGCCATACGTGACTCCGGCAGTCACCATGTAGACTAGTTGACCTCGACCAAATTTCAATCACATGTCATATTGTCTCCACAAGTACTAACTAGACCTGTTCCACTGACAATACATGTAATACACACTATATAGGTTGAGGTGTCAGACATATCATTGACCTATAGTATGTCCTTGGGATTGCTCATTAGTTAGGATCCCTATACCACCTATTGTACTAGACTATAAACCAGCTACAGCTGTAGTGCTGTAGTGTTGTCTAGCCACTGAGACTATCAGTATACTCATTATGTGACCACTGGAGATATCATTAGCCAGTGATAGGCTATATTATGTAACATGAGGGAGCTACTGGAGATGTATCTTTAGCCTTTGTTTGGGCTGGCAGTGATAGAGGAACTAAAGACTTCACTCCATGTCACTTCCTCTGTGAGATCAGAGGATGATATTATCCCTCACTCCCACCTCTTCCCTGATCTGTACAATACTCCTACCCCATTCCCCAAGCTACATCTCATTATACATTCTTCATACCCCATACTCCATACTCCATCTATTCCATTCTCCCATTCTCCAATCCACTCAGGGGTGGGGCTAAGCAACAGTATCAGGGATAGCATGTCCAGCAACAGTGGCATAGAGGCAAACTCAGGCCACGCACTGGGGAGTGTGTACTGCCACTCAGCCTCCAGCCAGCCCAACCATTGCAGTGGATCGATCCCACTGGAGCGGAGATCCCATTCCTTGGGAACCACATATTCCAGGTCCAGTTCCACAACGCCACCTTCCACAGCTACACTTCTATCACTCTCAAAGAAGGTATATAGGGCTTACCAGTAACATTTACCAAGAACAAGTAGAATATCTATTATCCACACTAGGTACAATATGTGTATATATCAGTTACACAGTCAGTCCCTGAAATCTACATACTTCAATTGACCTGGCTAAATCTCA